GTACCTCTAAAAAATCATATTTTGGCATTTGTATGACCTTATATATATATATATATATGAAATGATTCATTACAACGGTTGTATAGTGTTATAATGCAACCGTACCTCTAAAAAATCATATTTTGGCATTTGTATGACCCCAAAATTTGCCCACATATTCTCTTTATCCTCATAATCAATCATGCAAAAAACAAATTTCAAACACTCTATATATGGTCAAAATTAATACCTATTCAACAATGAATCTCGACCATCCATTTGGTGAATTTCAAGATCTAGGCCTTAACAAATTCAAAATCATTTTTTCCTCTTTTTAGCATTATTAATCTAATGATGATAATACTATATAAAAACTTTGGGAATAAAAAAAATGCTTTTGAGGCCTATATCTAACCATCTCAATAAAATGGACGGCTTATATTAATTGGGCTAGAATGAAAACTTTCTAGAGCATTTTTTCAAAATTTTCATTTTTGTGATTGTTTTTCAGAATGAAAAGAGTGTACACTTAAAAATTCGTGTCTAAAAAATGTCTCTAACATAGTTTTTGAATATGGTTGTATTATACTACTATACAACCATTGCATGAAATCATTCCTATATATATATATATATATAAGGCAATAATTTCATGCCATCGTTGTATAGTAATATGATGCAACAACCTTAAAAAACTATCTCATGGCTATTTGTTTGATTCAAATTTTGAAATATACACTCTTTTCACTCTAATGAACAATCACAAAAAAGAAAAATTTGAAAACACAACCTAGAAAGTATGTTTTTAGCTCAATTAACATAAGTCATTCATTTTGGTGAGATTCTTAGATCTAGGCTTTAAAAGGATTTTTCATTTCCAATTTTTTAGATGGTTTTATTATCATTAGATGAACAATGTTAAAAAAGAAAAAAATGATTTTAAGTTTATAAAGGCTAATATCTTAAATTAAAAAATGAATGGTCTAGATTCGTTTTTGGAGGGGACTCATTTTGACCATATCTAGGGTTCAAATTGAACTCGTTTTTTTTTTGGGATTGTTTATTGAGATGCAGATAGTGTATGTGCAAAATTTGGCAACGCAAACATGGTTTTCTAAAAGTATTGTTATATTATACTATGATACAACCGTTGTATTAGATCATTGCTTATATATATATGGAAAAGTCTTTCCAATGCCTATAGGCGAAAATGAATAGTGATTTCGCCTACCCTCATCACCGTCTAAATTTCATCGCGAGATCACGATTGTCCGGTAGTGTTTTATTTTTCATTTTTTTTTTATAAATTGGAATGACTTGAAATTCGAAGGGTATGTACATCTTACTGAGGTGCATTTAATAAAAATATAAAAAAAATTATTCATGAAAAATGAATTGACCAAAAACCCTTGAAAATTTTCAGGGGTATTTTGGTCAAATGTTTTCATGTAAAATATTTTTTAATAATTTTTTAAGATTCCTCTATTTTTTATGAATATAAGCTCCAAATTTTAAGCCATTCAGATTTGTAAAAAAAAAGAAAAGAAAAATAAGACACTACCAGACAATTGTGACCGTACGATGAACTTTGAGCGATGATGGAGGTAGGCAAAATC